TGACAAGGGGGTTGGGGGCCCAGACCAGATGGTGGGGGGAACTGAGGCCAGCATCCAGGTCCCACCCCTGCCCCTCGCTGTTGCCCCCCTGGCCCCTCTCTGCGTGATAAGTGTCCCCTGCCTGGCAGCACCAGGGCCCACAGCCCCCAGGCTCTTGGAGACACTGCTACCCCGTTTCACAGGAGAGCAAAGTAGGCTTCCAAGAAGAGCTGTGAAGGGGTGGTGAACGTTAGTTAGGGATGCGTGAGCTTGAGTGTCCAGGTGTGGTTCCACGGTTGGCCACTTGGGCTGAAATGAATGGAAACCCAGGATGGGGTGGGAGGAAGCCGTGGGGCAAAGCGCTCACCCCCAAGTCCAGGGAGCAGCAGTTTGCAGGACTGGACGCATTTCCACTCTCTGGACGTCTGAAACTTTCCGTGATGAAATGTCAGGGGGAGGGGGAGAAATGCACACTTCACCTGCCACCCCCTCTCCAGGTCCCTGTTGCCACTCGGAGTAGCCGCTGCAGCCAGGTCTCCTGAGCCTTCCAGAGCTGGTCAACAGTGGACAGTCAGGTGTGAACCTATCTCTTCCCGTCCGACTGGGGGGCAGGCCTTGCTGCCCGTGGGCTGCTGTCCCCACGGCTGCTGGTGTGGGACCTCTGGCAGAGACATCTGTGGGTCCCCTGGGAGAGGCAGCATCCACACCCTGTCATAGGAATGGCCCTGGGGGCCCGAGGAGGTGATGGGCTCAGCTGCTCGAGGCCATCCCTGCCCTAGGCGGAGAGAAGGCGAACCGGGGGTGTTACTTTAGGCCCACGCACCTGGCCTGGTGGCCCCCAGCACCCCCAGGTCATGCTGGGCATTAGCCTCCCTCTGCACTCATGGCCGCTGTTCCAGGACCTTCAGGAAGGGCAGAGGGGGAGCCGAGGCCCAGGACACCCAGTGGGGGCGTGGAGATGTCCACGGGGCCTGGCAGGGAGGGAGCAGAGGGACTCACGCAGACAATGTTCTCCTGGACTTAGGGGTGCCAAACATGCCTCGTAGCGGCCACATCGACAGAATTGGAAACTGAGGCTCCTAGAAGTGGTATTTGCTCAAGGCCACATGGCTTCTGTGCATTCATTCCATCCTTCAGCCCAGTGCCAGGCCCTGGGTTCTGCCAGCAATTAGGCCTGGGTGGGGGCGCGGGGGAAGCTGGCCATTCCCAATGATCCCAGTCTCCCCCTCGGGCCTCGGGCCTCAGGCCTAGGTTCTCATTCTGGGGAAACAAAGAGTGGGTCTTTGCCACCTGGAGCTGGGGTTGAGGGGAAACCCGTGTCTGGAGCGCCCTCTGCTGGGTGGTCTGTTTCTCACTGGGGACCCCAGAAGTTTTAGGAAGGGGCTGGACTATGGGCATGAGGGCAAGAAGGAACTCCCCACCCTCGGGCATCCAGGGAAGACAAAGCAAGGTAAAAGTTGTCTTTAGACCACAGATCTCACACTGACTGCCCCTGGGTCTCACCATGATGGCTAGTATTTCAAAACAGGTATCAGATGTGTTAATGTCAGATCTTTTAAAATTGGAAGATCTGCCCACTCTGCACACTTCCCTGGGCACAAGGAGGGAGCTGAGCATGGTGGGCCGTGTGCTTTCCTGTAAGCCACAGACTACACCAGTCCCTATTGCCCTGTGCCCACCTGCCTCTTTGAGTTACGTGGCCCTGTGGGCATGTGTGCTCTCTCCTCGACCATCCAGAGGGCCTGGCACCCTCAGCCAGCTGGTAGCATCGGAAGCCTGTGGACCTGACCTTTCGAGGGCCCCCACCTCCTGAGTGAGGCAGCTGTGCTTCCCCACACAGCCCGGCCCGGTGGATCCCCCCTTGCACATACACACACGCACACACGCAGATGACTGAGAGGGGACTCTGGCCCTCTGAGGGCTTGGCTGAGCCTGCGGGGAGCAGGGGGCTGACTTGGGGAGCCTCTTTCAACTCCTCTGGCTGGGGCACCCTACCTTACTGATGTCTAAGGGTCTCTGAAGGATCTCAGGGAATGTGTGGCCTCTTTCCAAGGAGCCACCGTTATGGTGCAGAGCAGGGACAGGAAGAGTGGGAGTTAAACCACCTCTAGAATTTGCTTCAGTCACTGCTGTGGTAGGTAGTGAGCTGCTTGTCCCTAGAAGGGTTTAAGCGGGGTCTGGTTCCATGCACTCGTTTATCTAACAGATATTTATTGGTGTGTGTGATGTGCCAGGCCTTGCTGCAGGTATGAGGACCCCCATGGTGAGCTCCCTGGTTGGCCGTGTCGTGGAGCTGGTCATCAGTGGGGAAGGACAGCTGTGCACCTGTGATGGGTGCTAAACCCATGAACCACTAAATGCTACCTGGGACGGGTAGTGGCAAGGAGTGAGCCCAGCTGCGTGCTGGGAAGAGCAGCAGGGAGGGGCTGGTGCCAAGGCCCTGGGGCAGAGATGGCTCCCTGTGGTTCAGGATGGGAAGGGGGGCAGACAAGTGACGGGGTGACGGGGTGGGTGAAGCCAAAGTTGCAGGGCTTTGAGACCACGGTGGGGGAGATTGGGCTCCTTCCCTTCTCGTGAGTTCAGGGACCAGCTTATTAGTCGGAGCCTCTGTGCTTCTGGGGTCCCTACTGGGGGGTGATGTCTCTAGCTCATTCAAAGCTTTGAGTGGTTCTCTTCCAAGTCGGGCATTTATTAGCTCACATCAGCACACCTCTTAGAGCCTGGGGTGTTCCAGGCCGCCGGGGCTGGGGGCTGGGGGATGGCCTGGTCGCAGACTTCCAGAAGAGGCTGTGTGATAGGGGTGCAGAGCAGAGGCCAGCAGAGGCTGTAATGCTGAGCCGGAGGTCAGGGAGGGCTTCCTGGAGGAGGCCTCAGCTGAGGGGCCAGCCTGAGGGCTGCAGAACTGCGCTGGGACACGGTTCTGGACAGGCCAGACAGGCACCCACACTGTGTGCTGAGGGCAGGGGGGGTAGCGGAAGGGGCCATCACAAGGCATTCCACCCCCAGGGCAGGATGCCCTGAGCTCATAGCTCCCTGTGCCCCTTTTCACAGAAGGGGAAACTGAGGCCCACGAATGCAGGGGTCTGAATTGTCCACTGGCAGCTTGTAAGCAGGAGTGGGCAAAGGGCTGATGGGAAGCTGACTCGGTTCAGGGCCCGTGGCGGAAGGACCAATGTGCAGGCGCGCGCTCATGCATGTCGGGCCTGGATTTGGGGGCTCCATCCCTCATTTGCTGAGCAAACCTCCTCAAGTTACTCTGCCTCTCTGAGCCTGTCTCACCGTTTCACGTCTGCAGGATCAGTGTTACTCCGCATACCCGGCCGAGCTCCCGGGAGACGGTGTGGGCCTGGCCCCCACGCAGAGCCCGGCAAAACTTACACAGTGTGTCCGACTCTGAGCCACAGGCCATCTCCGGGCTCGGCACTCCCGTTTCCCACCCCCTGGAAAAGAAAGTCTGGCGTCGCATTTTACTAGTTTGCCTTCCCACCTTGCACGGCTGTTGGGAAGACCGACTTCACCGTGACGGGAGCTTTTGGTGTGTAGGGAAACTGAGGCCCAGGGAGCGTGAGCCACCAGCTCGTGAGCCACCAGAGCAGCAGGGGCCTGGCATCCCAAGCAGGGATGCCCCCATCGCTGGTCTCAGAGTCCCCAAGAGCAAAAGCAGCCTGGCCAGATCACAGACGCAGGCCAGGGCGCCCCCTGAGCCACACGGTGTGGGCGACCCCCTTCCCGCCACCACAGCTCTGCCCAGGGTACAGGCTTGCCTGCCAGCCCCCAGCCTCCCCATCGTGGACACAGGAGGCGGGGGCAGGGCGGGAAGGGGCTCCTGGGCCAGCTGGCCTGTGAACACCAGCGGGGAAGTGCACGGAGACAGGAAGGAAGCCGCACTGCTGGGGTCTGGGGCCACCATTGTCTCACCTGGGGGTGGGGGTGCTGAGATGGGCCCTCGGCTCAGGAGGCAGGCGGGCCCCACCCCGCGGCTGTCTCCTGCACTCTAGCCTCAGTCTCCTGGTCTGTAAAGCCTCAGAAGGCCAGATGCGTGTTGTGTCTGGAACTGCACAGCAGGTGACATGTGCAGGCAGCCCTCCAGGGCTTTGCCCAGACCCACTCCTGGGCTGAGGGCTTCGCTTGTTCCCAGAGGCCCCGGAACTCACCCAGGGTCAGACCTCAGGAAGGCAGGGCTGGAAGTGGGACCCGGGCTGCAGGCTCCAGAGTCCAGGGCCTTCCCTGCTCAGCCCTGCTGTCTGCTACACCAACCTGCCTCTTCCTTAAGGAGCTCCCTCGTTTAGGCTACACCCTCTTTCAGGCTACACCCTCAGGGAACCTCATCCTGGGCTGTGACATCAGCACTTCCATCAGGGTAGAGCGAGGGACAGGTGATGGGTAGGTAGAAGGATGGACAGACCGATCGATGACTGACGGGGAGAGAGAGTCGCTGGGGTTGACGGCAGCACTGGGCGGCTGCCCCGGACGAGATTGCCAGGGCTCCCTCCCTTCATCTACACCCACCCTGTCCCCACCCCTCACACACACACACACACACACACACACACACACACACGTGCGCACATGCACACACGGACACACGCACCCACGCACGCACACACACAGCAGAGCTGGGAGCACGTCTCATTTCCAGGTGGGCCAAGGAGAAACAGGAAAGACTCCTTCCTTCCACCCAACAGGAAGCAGGGCGAGGAGGCTTCGGGACCTCCCAGCAGACGGTCCTGGACTGGGCAGGATGCTCCCCCACAAGCTGAGCCAGAGGGGTTGTGCCCAGGGGTCTCGCAAGGGCAGCTGGCCAGGAGCCCCCCATCATCCGATGTCATCTGACACCAGTCCCCTTCCAGGGAACGAGGGGAAGAGGTGAGGGTTCAGACCATCCCCAGGAAACACGGGTCTCGGGGAAGACCCCACCCCCATCTCTGGTGGGGAGACTCTAGGGCTGCGTCCATCACCCCACCTCACCCCCTCCAGCCCCCCCAGAGCAGCGGAGCCCCTGCAGCCTGCTCAAACTTTATTGAAGGTGGAGCTAGAATGGGAGGGGCAGAACCACACACCACTCCCCTCAGCTCCCCCAGCGTGGGCTCCACCGGACAAGGGACGGTTGCTGACTGAGGCTCCCTCCGGGGACTTCGGGTACAGCTCAGTGGCCCCCGTCCCTGCAAGCAGCCAAGACACCTGCCTCATCCCCAGCCCGGCCCAGACCCCAGCACAGCCTCAAGGGTGGGACATGTTCTGTAGGCCCTGCTCCCTTGGGCCCCCCTCCCAGGCTGCTGGGGTCTGTTGGGTCCCGGGTGCGGCAGGGGACAGAGCTGGGCGGGTGGGGGGGCAGGTACGTTACCACCAGCTCAGGTCCCTCCTGGCCAGCGCCACCTGGGCCAGGCGGTGGTCACTGAGCACCTGCACCCGGGTGATGGCCGCCAGCGGCCTGTGGCGGTGTGCGAACTGTAGCACCTTGTGCTCCTGGACGTGGACGTGGAAGTGCTCCGCATCTGAGCTGACCTCCATCTGGGGACAGGAGGCTGGTGAACCACAGCCCGCCACGGAGCCCAGGGCCCCTCAGCGCGTGGAATCCCCATCGTGCAGCCCACCGATGGGAGACCTGCATCCCCACCAGATGGACGTCCCTTCCCTCTCTGAGGGGTGCACCCAGCCGCACCCAGCCGCAAGACTCCCCTGGTCTTTACCCTCCGCAGTACATGGGGACACAGCGTCCTTCCTATCAAGCAGCAGCAGGATAGCCTGCATGGCCTCCCGGCCCCCTCAGGCCTCCCCCTGCCCCCCCATGGGCCTCCCCTCTGCTGCCCTCATCACCTCAAAGGGCTTCCCCAGCACCAGTGGGAAGACACTGGACACCTCCTCCTGGCCCCAGCGGCCCCCCTGGAACGTGTTGCCCACCACGGTGGCGCTGGAGAACCGGGGCTTGACGTGGAAGGCAATCTCCCCCGCCTCGGACAGGAAGTTGATCTCAAACCTGGGTGGGGGGGCGTCATGGGAGTTGTGGGACAGCAGGTAGCTGGGGAGTCACCCCACCCAAGGCTGAGAGGGGCTTCCCTGGGGAGGGTGGTGACCCTTACTTGTCCTCTCCAGAGTCAGAGTGTCCCTGGACCAGCAGGCTCCAGCCAGGGGCCAGGCCCCCTGCACAGAAGGCTTCAAACTGCATGCAAAAGGGGGGCAGAGTGTCCCCCACTTGTCCAGAAGGCCCCAGCCCGTCTCACCCCCAGCACGGACTCTTCCCCGGGACCCTGGCCCAGCGTCCCCTTCATGGCAGGGTGGTAGGGGGTCCTCCACGCCACACCCTCTCATCCTGCAGGCCTGGGGAAGGGGCACCTGGGTGTGGGGAGGCCTCGCCTGGCCCTGAACCCTTCTCACCCACCTGCAGCGCCATCTCGCTTGCCTGCTTTTGCGGGCGTGGAGCCTGAGCCGAGACTTATAGGTAGGTGGGCAGGGAAAGTGGGGCAGGACCCAGGAGCCCCACCCCTGGGACAGCCGGCAGACTGACTGGCCCCTCCCTGGCCCCAGCCCTCTCCCCACCACCTTATCAACACATATGCTATTTAAGCGCCAGAAACAGGGTGGCAGGCCCTGGGCCCCTCCCCACCCCCACTTCACTTACTAGGGTCCTAGGAAAGCACTTCTGCTTCCCACCCCGAGCAGCTTCCTCCGGGCTCCAGGGACCCAAACCCTCATCACTGCTCAAGTGAGAGGAGGTGGGGGACGGCAGGCCTACCAACCCTGCCTAGGCCTTCTGGGGGCCCAGCCTGTGTCCCTCCCAGCCCAGCCCAGCCTCCCCGGCTGCCCTGCTCCAGCCAGCTCAGCTGGCCCCGTGGGGCACTGTGCTGGGATTAGGCTGGGGCTGTGGTCAGCGCATTCCTGGGCTCTGGCTGATGGAGTGGGGGAGGGCCTTTCCCATACCCCAACGCCCCTGCTGGCCTGGAGCCTCAGCCCCTCTCAGCTGAGCTGCGGAGGAGGCCAGGCCGGGGCCCCCACGGAGTGTGTAGGGGAGGGGTCAGGGTCTCCCCAGGCTTTCAGGGTGGCTGGGGGGGCCACCTGGCTGGACTGTCCAGGGAACTGGCCTTAAGGGGAACCAGGCTGGGCCCGAGGAGCGCTGGGGCTGCTGCATGCGGTGAGTGTGTAGGGAGTGTGGGCGTGTGGTGAGCACGGGATCCCATGGCTGCACAAATAGGTGTCTGTGGACGTGAGCCCCTGGGTGTGAGAGGTGTGGTGTGCGAGGGCCCCCATGCAGTTTCCCTGCCCAGTGCATCTCTGGGGGACTGGCACCCATCTGCACACCCCAGGCCCCGGGGACAACCTGGCTGGCTGTCACCCCCTTGTTCCCCTCAGCCTCCCCCGTGTGCGGGCCAGTCTTGACGAGGGGATGATGCTAAGGCCAGACTGGAAGCTGAGATGGCCAGGATGGCCCGTGGGTGGGGTGGGGCACTGTGGTGCGCCTGGGCCAGGCTGAAGGGGGCAGCACTGAGCAGTGGGGGGGGGGGGGCTGCTGTCCTGACTCCCACCTTGCAGAGCCCTGTCCCAACCCAGCCTGGCTGTCCTAGGGTTCACAGGCTGCAGACCCCTCACAGCTGCCTCCCCACGAGGACCACGGAGAAGGGAGGCCCTGCCACAGCTGGCTAGCAGGAGAGTGAAGCCTATCCGTGCCTCTCCACCTCCGCGTCCTGTGTCCTGTCCCTTGTCCCTAGAGTGTTGGGACTGGGCAGTCAGGGGTCCAGAGAAGGCTTGAGCTAGTAGCCTCTGGGTCTCAGTCTTCCCAGCTATGCCCTAGGCTCGGCAGTCTTGCTCTGCCGTGCTAACATCTTCCCCCTGTGCCTGTCCCCTCAAAGGGGGATGGCAACCCAGGCAGCCACAGCCCTGGCTGGACACAGGAAGCTGGGCCATTGTCACCTTACTTTGGGGTCAGCAGGGGCACTGGTGGAGGGTCCTTGGGAGTCAGCTGTCTAAAGCCCTAGCCAGGCATTAGGGGACCTGCAAGTGGGGCTTGTCCCCCAGACTCCCTGGACAGAAGGCCTGAGTCCTCTGCCTGGACAAGAGCACTGGTCTGGGGTGAGGAGGCCTCAGGAACCCCTGCCTGGGCAGGCCCGCTGCTCCCTGAGTCTCCCTGAGCCTCCCCATCTGAGCAATGGGGATTTGCAGGTAGCCAGGGGGCCTCGAGGGTGCAGGGCTGAGAGCCTGGTCGGTCCATGGCCAGCCTGGAGACCTACAGTAGGCGTACCTACACGAAGCAGACCCTGGGCCTCCACGCACACCGTGGCACTTGTTCCTGGTGTGAGTAGACACGTGGCCAGGCTGTGGTCTCGCCCAGCCTAGGCTTTGGAACCTCTCCCACGAGGGGCGGGAGCCAGAAGCAGTCTAAGCAACCCATGGCTGCAACCCGAGAGGCCCGAGTAGGGCCGGGGAATGGAGAGAGGGACATAGAGGCTCCATGTGGTTGGCCCAGCCCTGTAGGCATCCCCCAATGTCATGGAGTTCAGGTGGGGCCACAGCCTGGCCCAGGGGGTCGGGGCAGCTGTGGACAGTGGCTCTCCCCCCTCCCCCACCAAGTTGCCGGCCAGGCAGTGCTGGGCCCCGGGAGCAAACAGACCTGGCAGTCCAGGTGCTTCCCCGCCCCCCTCGCGGATGTGTGGTTTTTGCCCTGGGCTCCCGACCTTCACAGGCTCAGAGGAGGCCGAGGCTGTTCACCAGGACTCCGCACCAGGACTCATCCAGTGGGATGGGGCGTTGTCTGGGCTGGCTTCCTGGAGGAGGTGGTGCCTCAAGCAGGCCTTGAAGAATAAGGACTTAGAAGGGTGCTGGAGGGTGAGGTCTCAGGCCTAGCACTGGGGGGATCGCTTGGGAAGGATCTGACACAACTTCAGGACAGTTGTCAGCGATCCATGACCTCACCTCTGGAGGGCAGCCCACCTTCCGTGGGCGTGCTGGAGCCAGTCAGTGCCCCGGCTGGCTCAGACTGGAGGAAGCCCCCAGAGTCCCTCAGGGAGGGTGGCGGCGCGAGAACACTGGTGCCCAGTCTGCTGCTCCTCTCAGTGTGGGCACCTAGCCCGGCCCAGCCATGGGCGATTCCAGGTCATTGGGATCTCGAACCAGCCCTCCCACGACCCCCACGCTGTCCCCCACCCACATCTGGAACCGCTTGCTGATGGCAAGGTCAGCGCAGAAAGTCTCCACCCCGACCTGGCAAGGGGCAGCACTGGAACTGGGACACGTGGCCTCAGGCTGGCTGTCCCCCTGGCTGGGCCCTTGGTGGCCTTTGGCACGTAGCAGCTGGTTCTCCTCTCTGCTGGGGCTGTGACGCGAGTGTACATTCTGGGGCAGCAGGGAGACCCAGTCCAGTACGTAGTGTGCTGCCAGTCAGGAGGCTGCAGGCCACCATTGCCCAGATGGGGAAACCGAGACCCAGGAGCCCCATGGAGGGCCCTCATAGGGCCTGCTAAAGGCTGGAAGGGACTGATCCGGCGCAAGGACAGCAGGATCCCCTACTCCCTGGTGCCCCCTCGCCTGTCCCTCTGGAGCCCCCTGCCAGCTATGCCCAGCGATCACCCGCCGCAAGTCCCGCGGGCTCACAGCTTAGCCCCATCTCTCATAAAGCCCTCCTTGCTCTCCCTCCTCTGAATCATTCGCTCACTCAGGGCAGCAGTCGCTGTACTCCAGGCCATTCATGGAGGCCCTGCTGTGTGTCAGGAGCTGCCTGGTACCCTCTGGGGTCAGTAGGAAGGAGGCAGGTCTGAGCCCGACCCATGGCAGCCCTTCTCTCACTCCATGTGTACGGAGGCCCCCAGGCCCAGGGGAGGAAGATGTGGGGGTGATTGGGGAGCTCAGCTCATCGTGACTATGGTAGGTTACTTCTACAGTGTGCCCAGTGCGGTGCCTGCCACACATGTCCCTTGCTGGGAGAGGGAAACAACCTCTCACTCATTCACTTGCTCAGAACACGTTTCTTGTGCACCTATGATATGGAAGGCCCTGAGCAGTTTCACAGACAGACAGACATGCAGACATGGTCCCCGCCCTCACAGAGCTTCCAGTGACTGAGGGAGGGGCAGGCATTAAATGACTAATCCATTCTCACCTTATCCAGTTATCAGTTTCTAAAGGGAAGTCTGGGGAGGGACAATTGTGGCCAGGGGGGCCTGGCCTGATACCAGCAGGTCAGGGAGACTTCCTGGAGGAGGTGACTTTGAGCTGAGCCCAGAAGAGGAAGGGCTCACCAAGGATGGGGCGAGGGCAGCATGTGCGAAGGCCCTGGGGAGGGCAGACCTGTGGGAGTGTGAGGGGCCGGGATGGGGCTGGGGAAAGCATGTTGCCACCCTGTCTTTGTTGCCTGGCTGGGGTCCAGCCCTTCCAGCCTCCCCTGCCAGGCGCCACCTTCCCTTTCCCTAATTTGGCCCGGCATTTTTCCTGGCCAGGCCGCCCACCCAGTGCCTGGCCATTGTCTGGGTGTCTCCTGCTTCCCGCCCTTGAGTCTCTTATCACCCAGAGAATCTGCTCGCTTGGGGGCATTTGGGGGCTGATAAGGCTTTGCTGGAGCCAAGGACAGGCAGGCGCTGCCTGTTCTGACGCCATCCCCTTGCTGGCATGGGCTGGCCAGCAGTGGCCAAAAGATACTCAGCAGACATGGCCTGGCCTCCCCGCTGCAGGGACCACAGGGCTGCCCCTTCTACTCTGCACCTTTCCCTCTGTCCCCTATAAATCAGAGCAGACCCATCTGCTTCTTACAGGCCGCTTTCTGGGCCCCAGTGTCTCCATCTGGGGTTGTGGGATCATGGGCATGGCCCAGATGCTCGGCCAGGGGACAGAAGCAAGGCTGCCCTGGCCAGGGGAGGTTGGGGCCGGCCGGCGCTAGGGGACCCTCTCGGGGGACACTGGCAGTGAGCGAACCAGGATGGCAGCCATCTCTGAGGGAGCTCAACTAGCTGCACCAGCCACCCAAAGGGCTGCCTGGGTCCCGAGGCCCTGGGCCAGGCACAGGAGGCCATGGGAGGCCCTGTGCAGGGCTGGGGCTGGGGGCCAGCTGTGCAGGGCAGGCTGGGGGTAGACATCTGGACTGGAAGGGGGCTGTGATGATTTCTCCAGATGGGCGCTGGGCTCCAGGGTTATAAACACGCAGCAGCAGCCGGGACTCGAGGAAGGGAGAGCCGGGAATCCGAT